ATAGCACCCAGTGGTGCCAATCAAGTAAGAGTGTTTACTTTGACTCAACTAGAGGAAGATGTTTCCAATGTTGTTGTGGAAGATATTGCTCTTCTTTATAATTCTTGGGCCTGAATTTTATTTGATTCCAGTGCTACTCATTCATTCATACGCACTACCTATGCCCTTAACTTGGGGTTGGAATTTGAGAAGTTAGAACACACCTTGAGTATTGACATGCCTACAGGAGAACGGTTAGATACTAAAAGGGTGTGTAGAAGTTGTGTGCTTCGAATTGGAGAGCAAGAATTAATTATAGATTTAGTTGCATTAGACCTGAAGGGGTATGACATAATATTTGGGATGAATTTGTTATCCACTTTTCGGACGGTAATGGATTATTTTTGTAAACAGATTTTATTTCAATTATCGAGAGGGGTAGTTTTCAGTTTCATGAATGATTGAAATTATTCACATCCATTTTCTACTACGGGTAATAGATTCTTGAAAGCTAAGGCGGGGAGCCATTTGAGTTTCTTGGCTAGCTTGATGGGAGATGATCGGAATAGATCTCAATCGGAGGTGGTATTTATAGTGTCAGAGTTTTCGAATGTCTTTCCAGATGAACTACCTGGGTTACCCCCACAGAGAGAGATTAAGTTTACCATTGATCTCTATCCGAGAACCGAACTCATATCCATTGCTCCCTATAGAATGGCACCTTCGAAGTTGAAAGAGCTAAGGAAATAGTTAGACCAACTATTGGCGATTGGGTTTATCCGTTTAAGTACTTCACCATGGGAAGCGCCAGTTCTCTTTGTGAAGAAGCATGATGAAACACTTTGGTTATGCACTAATTACCGAAGGTTGAATCGGGTGACAGTAAAGAATTAATATCCATTGCCAAGGATTGATGATTTATTCGATCAGTTGAGGGGTTCCAAGTATTACTCCAAGATTGATCTTCGCACAGGGTACTATCAACTGCGAATCAAGGAGGAGGATATTTCCAAGACGGCTTTCTGTACCCGGTATGATCATTTCAAATATACAATAATGCCGTTCGGATTGACTAATGCTCTAGCAGCCTTCATGGACTTGATGTATAGGGTATTTGGGTTGTATCTAGATCAGTTTGTCATTGTGTTTATTGATGACATATTAATCTATTCACGGACACAAGAGGAACATGCACACCATCTCTCGATTGTGCTACAGACATTGAGAGAGCATAAGCTATTTTTCAAGATAAGTAAATGCGAGTTTTGGATGAAGGAAGTGAGATTCTTTGGCCATGTTGTGTCGGAACAAGGTGTAGCTATTGACCCCACAAAGATCAAAACCGTGATGAAATGGGAACCACTGAGGAATGTGATCGAAGTACGTGTTTTCTTGGAATTATTAGGCTACTACCGGAGGTTTGTGGAAGGGTTCTCACAGCTTGAAATGCCGATGACTTGCCTTAAAAAGAAGGGTGAAAGATTCGTGTGGACTAAAGAATGTGAATTAGCCTTTCGCACCTTGAGAGAAAGGTTGACAACAGCTTCTGTCCTCATTATTCTGAGTAGTGAGGAAGGATATGATGTTTACACCGATGCTTTGTTACGAGACTTGGGATGTGTGCTAATGCAAGGAGGTAAGGTTGTTGCTTTATGGATCGAGACAACTGAAGATCCATGAGAAAAATTATCCCACCCATGACTTAGAGCTTGCAGCTGTGATTTTTGCTCTTAAGTTATGGAGGTGTTACCTGTATGGAGAAAAATTTCAAGTGTTTTCTGATCACAAAAGCCTCAAGTACATCTTCACATAGAAAGACTTGAATTTTTGACAAAGAAAGTGGATTGAATATCTAGAAGACTACGATTTCACACTCAACTACCATCCGGGGAAGGCTAATGTAGTAACAAATGCACTTAGCTGAAAGTCTAGGGGTGAAATCAATGTTCTTGCTGTTCATAGGTGGAAGATAATTGATGCTTTGGAGGAGTTTGATCTGTTGGTGGATAGACGGGAAGATCGACCATGCTTATTTAATCTTGTAGCTTAACCAATTCTCCAAAATTGGATTGTGGAGTTGCAACTATTAGATACTGAGTTAGAAACTATCGGGGGTAGCTTGGAGAGGAATGAGGCTATTAAGAACTGGTCTATACATGATAATGAGTTNCGAAATTGGATTGTGGAGTTGCAACTATTAGATACTGAGTTAGAAACTATCGGAGGTAGCTTGGAGAGGAATGAGGCTATTAAGAACTGGTCTATACATGATAATGAGTTACAGTGTCGTGGAAGACTATGTATACTAAACAATGACCAAGTAAGGGAAGAAGTGTTGGGTGAGTGCCATCATTCAAAATTTTCCATGCATCCGGGTAGTACCAAGATGTATAGAGACATGAAGCGTCAATATTGGTGGAAAGAGATGAAACAAGACATGGCTAAGCATGTTTCAAAGTGCGCGATGTGTCAGCAGGTGAATATTGAGCATCAAAAGCCCGGAGGATTATTACAGTCCTTGCCTATTCTAGAGTGGAAGTAGGATCACATCGCCATGGACTTTGTGTCGGGTTTTCCACAGACTTCACGTGGTCATAATGCCGTATGGGTCATTGTAGATAGACTTACCAAGTTGGCTCATTTCTTGAGTATGAAGACCACAGACTCTTTTGAGACCTTGAGCAAGCTTTATATACATAAGATTGCTCGATTACATGGCATTCCACTCTCTATCGTGCCGGATCGTGATTCCCATTTTGTGGCACAATTTTGGCAAAGTCTACAATGAGCTATGGGGACAGAGTTACACTTTAGCATCACCTTTCATCCCCAAATGGATGGCCAATCCGAAAGGATGATACAAATTTTGGAGGACATATTACGAGCTTGTGTGTTGGACTTCAAGGGAAGTTGGAGCAATCATTTGTCATTCGTAGAATTCACATACAACAACAGCTTTCAATCCAGCATTAGCATGGCACCTTACGAGGCATTGTATGGGAGATCATGTAGGTCCCCGACGTGTTGGTTAGAAGCTGAAGAGAGTAGCTCATTTGGGCCAGAGATTGCTCGAGAGACTACGGAGAAAATTCAACTCATTCGGGAATGATTACGTACCGCACAAAGCAAACAGAAGAGCTATACGGATAGAAGACGAAGACCCTTGGAATTCCAAGAGGGGGAAAATGTGTTCCTTAAGGNAAGAGAGTAGCTCATTTGGGCCAGAGATTGCTCGAGAGACTACGGAGAAAATTCAACTCATTCGGGAATGATTACGTACAGCACAAAGCAAACAGAAGAGCTATACGGATAGAAGACGAAGACCCTTGGAATTCCAAGAGGGGGAAAATGTGTTCCTTAAGGTGTCACCCAAGAAGGGGGTGTTTAGATTTGGCAAGAAGGAGAAATTAGCACCAAGATAAACCGGACCATTTGAAGTGATCCAAGCTATAGGCAAAGTGGCATATCAACTTCGGTTGCCAGCTCAGTTGTCAGGGGTGCATAACATATTCCATGTGTCAATGTTAAGAAAATGTCAAACGGATACAACGCATGTCATAGATTTGGAGGATATTGAAATTCAAGATGGAGCAATATATGAAGAACAACTGGTGAAGATTCTCGACACCAAGGAGAAGGTGCTTCCCAACAAAGTCATTCAACTGGTGAAAGTCTTATGGCAACACCATGGAGTGGGGGAAGCTACTTGGGAACCGAAGCTAGAGATGCGAGAGAAATACCCCCATTTGTTTGTTACTTGAGGTAAGTTTTGAGGACAAAACTTTCTTTAAGGGGGGTGGATTGTAAACCCCCACACTTTTATTTTNAGGCAAGATGGTGATGAATTGCAATTGGTCTAAACCTTCGACCAACGACTTATTGCGACCTGCGCAGAATGCCCATACATACTAAGACCTTGTTCACACAACGAAGAAAAGCAGCTGAGTGGTCAGGANGCAAGATGGTGATGAATTGCAATTGGTCTAAACCTTCGACCAACGACTTATTGCAACCTGCGCAGAATGCCCATACATACTAAGACCTTGTTCACACAACGAAGAAAAGCAGCTGAGTGGTCAGGAGCAGTCAGCTAGCTAGCTGACTGCTTCTTCCCCATGCCCCCCTGCTTATGGATACGAGATATTTGATATAAATTCTCAAATAGGAAATTGCATACCATTAGCCGATATATGTATAGGAACATGGATACATGATATTGAATGTAATCCAGGTCAAGGCGCAAAGCTGGCTCAAGCCGTAGGAACTTTTGCTAAAATAATAAAGTAACCAGCACCCCTTACACTCTCTTAAAGGCTTGTGCCGCTACCTTCAGGAAGCTTGAGGCATATGATAAAGTTTCTAAATTGATGGTAATGCATGATTTGAAAAAGCAACTCCAAATTATATTCCACGTGAAATTAATTATTCCGACTATTTTCCATGTCATAAATCCAAGCTCAAGATGTAGTCATGGCTGAACCTATAGTCATCCTATAACAGTATAACAGGTAAGAAAAGCACTAAAATCGCCTCACTAAATTCAAAATATAAACCGTAACATGCACTGATATCACGTCAAAAGGCCAAATAAGGATCATTTTAGTGCTAATAGCCTAAAAGCACAACAAAAGCCAAAAAAAAAAAAAAAATTGGTGATCCATTGCCTGATGTCACATGTTCCTGTTTTTCACAATCTGAACAAAAAAAAAAAAGAAGAAGAATCACCCACTTCATGTGCTGTTGCTATCATGTTCATCATGCCTCATTGCATCACAGTGGAGGAATTAAGATTTTAATTCACAATCTATTGAAGGAGAAATACAGATTTCACTACCAAAAGATAATAGAGACTACAAAAATGCATGTTGGATATTACGCGATTAATTTAGGAAGCGAAGTACCACACTAAATGAATTAAGATTTCATTTCAAAATTCATTAAAGAGAAAGAGATTCAACAACAATAATTTCATTGATACTATAACAATCTATGTAAGGTATGAAGCAATTAATTTAGGGTACCTGATCTGCCTTATCTGTTCAAAGAGATCAGCAGAATAAATATTATCATCATCTGCAAAGTAAATGATTCCATCAAGGCGGTGCTTTTCAATGTGCGACAGAGCCACATTTCTTTGATGCACACCTCTATCTTTCACTTCCGTTAAGTTCTTACTGCATACAAGATGCCTGTGAATGACACCTGTTCTTCTCAATATGTCAGCTGTTTCCATGGACTGAGATGTCATCTCCACAACTATCCACAACAAAGGAGGAGGGACCAATTTCAATGTGTATGCCAAACGATTCAGATAATAGGCTTGAAATGGCCGAGCATGTGTTGGGGTCACAATGATCAAAAGTTTATGAAACACCATAGTAGAATTTTTAATGAGTGATTGGTTAAGAAGAGTGTCATTCAAAATCCCTCTTCTTGGTTCCCCTTTCACCACATGTGGCTCTAATGTAGCACTATCATTAGTGGCCGATCTGTCCACTAAAGGTGTCATATTTCTGGGCACAACATCATAAAAGCGAACGTTTCCAACAGGAGGAAAAACCTCAAAGGAGATGACTTGGTGTTTGGTCACAAGATTGATGGGTAAATCCAATGAAACAAATGGGGCAAGTCCAACAAGAACCCCAACCAAGAAAAATATGGAAAAATGGAAAAGAGCCCTCCTCCAAAATTGCCCCTTAAATTTTGGCCTTTCCAAGGGCTGAGAAGATCGTTTTGAGAAAATACCAAGAGCAAAAGCTTGAGCTCTGTACCATGCATAGGCCAATGAGCCAAAAGAACACACCAAATCTCCCCTTAAGGAATAGTTCTGATTGAAGGAAGAAGACTTGGACAAGGGAGAAGGAGCTGAACAGCCTTCCCCATTCAGAAAAGTCCCAGGTCGAGGCACTGGAGACATCGTTCTTCTAATTGAAGCCATTAAAACTAAACCCGAGCAAGTTGTCTTCTCTAAGTCTAAAATTATTACCAGATATCACATTCACCACAAGTGATATTCAAAACTATCTTCTCATATTCCATCCAATTTAAAGAATGTGAACAAGACTATTGGGGCACATAAGCAATCCTTACTAGTGTGATCTAATGAAAAGCTGCAAGAAATTTGTATAAAACCCAAATGATAAATTAGCCAGTTCAATTCCATATAAAGTTATTGCCTCTTAAAAAACATCCACAACAGCAGTAAATCAGGGGCAAATCAAACCAACACAAATGCCAAAACAATGAAACAATTAAACTGCCTCTCCTGTATCAACTAGCTTAAACCCAATTACAAATACAAACCTCTTCAATTCCAATTCATCATCGAGGCATTCTCATCATATCCAAAGTTCTCTATTCCACCTCTAGCCCAGCAGTAACATAATTTTGCCCAGCTTTCTTCTTATGTGCACATGCGAAAAAAGGAACCTCTTGAAACGCAAATAAAAAATGTCACTTTATAACAAGTATGACAAAGCCAAATCTAAGCAATCTTAAAGAGGCCATCAACAAGTATCCAGCAACCAAATCTCTAAGTAAATCAAGTAAAACCCAAAGTATTCATTCACCAAATAAAAATTCCAAAGCATACATGTCGGGCCGCCAAAAGTAGAAGATTTCAAGCTCCAACATGGAAATACGCAGAGAGAAGAAATGGGTTACCACCTTTTTTGACCAAAAAGAAACGGGTCTTGGATCTCCTGAACCAATTCGTACGGAGGAGAGAGAGCACTGGCAGTCTCTCTTCGTTTTGGTGGTGTGAAGGCTTTTTGGCGCTTTAGAAGTCCAGTTGCTGTTTTGAAGAAATTCTTCTATGCTTATGAATCAAACGGAGAGTGCATTGCGAATGTGTAGTGTGTCGAATCTGACTTCACGTTGAGAATGAGAACATAGAACAGAGAGAAAAATGTGTGTGCGCCAAAGACAACACACCCAATTGACATAGGACCGAGGAAGAACAGTGGGGTTTGTGTCTCTTTCCTCTTACACTATATATAGCACATAAATCGTACAAAAACAATACAAATAGACCACGAAGTGAAATTACTATTGGCTATTGTTAATAAAGACATGGAAATTGCATTTATTGGATATCGGACACACATCTCAATTAATTTTTGCGTTGATTCGATCAGATAAGATAATCTTGGTTAACTTTTTTGAGGGCGACTTACCTGAAAAGAAAAAAAGACTTTTGAGAGTGAAGCTAGAGAATGTAAACTTCAATGACTTGCTTGACAATTACTATAATAAATAAATTTATTTACATATATAATAAACTTCGGTTGAATTCATAGTAAGTGTTAAGAAAAAAATTTTAAAAAAACATATTAAAAATAATTTCAGTCATGATACCCAATAAGTGAATTATGTTAATAATGAGTATTTTTCGATGAATTAATATCCTTTCATGAAATGTAATTAACCATCCTATCACTTAGTAATTAATAAAACTTCAAGAATTTTTCCAAATAACTGTAAGTATTGAAGAAATATGTATATGGACATACATGTGTATTGAACACAAGAATTATTTAAACCAGCAATTTTTTAAATATAAGACAACAAATCTAACCTTAAGAAGACGAGGAAAAGAGAATCACTATTGGTTCATAGTTGTTTAATCTTTTAATGTTTGTTAACCACGGGAGAATCTTTCAATTAGTGTTAAAAACTCATGTGTTTATTACTTCATAGAAATAAAATAACTGAATTAGTTGTCTAAAACTATTCCTTTAACTAAGAACTCTCTTTGATTACTTGTCATTAAAGTGTTTTTTAGTAATAAATTCATCAAAAACAATTAAGTAATTAATGGGTTAAACAACATGATTCACATAGACCTTCTTTCTTATTTTGTAAGTTTCACCAATACCTACCCGTATAGAAAGCATGAAAGTTTAAGTATTAATGACATCAACACGACATTCAATAGGATGAAAAGTTTTATCATCAACATTTATGTAATGAACATTCTAAGATACTAACTTTGTTGATGAGTACTTAATTTTAAGATCATCTTTTTACGGAATGTGCCCAAGTGTTTATTATCATGAAATAGTTGAAGCTTTTTTGGTTTTGAGTTAAAATTTTGCAAGTAGCTGTCAATTGTTGTTTATTGAAAGAAAATATAGATACGTGAATCTTATTGTAATGAGAAAGATTGAGAGGAACGTCGTAGTAGGACACCGGCTTGTCTCAATCTAAGACTTTAAGATGCCCAATTGGATCTAGGCTTACTAAAAATAAATAACTACTTTGTGCTTCAATGTTGTATTTATATTGTATGTAGAATAA